CCATCTTCAAGAAGGGGAAAAAGGAGGATCCGGGTAACTACCTACCCATCAGCTTGACGTCTATACCTGGGAATGTTTTAGAATAAATCATCAAATAGATAGTCCTTGAGCATTTAGAAAGGATGGCTGTGATTACTAAGAGCCAGCATGGGTTTTTCAAGAACAAGTCATGTCAGACTAACCTTATCTCTTTTTTTGAGAAAGCGACTACCTTGCTGGATCAGGGGAATGCTGTAGCCATAGTTTATCTTGATTTCCGTAAGGTTCCATATAATATTCTTGTTGACAAATTGGAAAAATGTGATTTGGATCCTATGACTGTAACTGGTTGACAGATCACACCCAAAGAGTGCTTTTGTCCAATTTTCAAGTGTGTTTAATTTCATGCTTATTGAGAACCAAACTTGGTTCGTGAATGTCGCAAGCTGCAAATATACCTGTTGGTAGAAGTTTCTTTTTTTGATCCCAAATTTTGATTGGTGTTGACAATAACAAGTTGTTTTTAATAGATTTGGGCCAATGGGTTGATGGCAGCCAAAATATTTCTTGCAGATTATATAGTGCAGAGTAAATCTGTTCTATTTGCATCCAAGGTGTTTGAGACTCTTTGTGTAACATTTGAACCACTTGTGAGAGAACAGTTGGTTGAAAGTAAGATTGTAACAATGAAAAATCAAATCCTCCCAGACATGAAGGGCTATGTAATATATTGCGACTGATCCTAGATCTTTTGCCATCCCACCAAAAAAAGGGAAGGGAAAGAGCATTTTGCCAGGTATGAATTTTTTTTAAAAAAAATAAATTTATTTTCAGTTTTCATCAAAACATATTCATTTCCATCTTATTATACATTTCATAACATAATGATCGTCTGTCTTCTATAACATTATTTGTCTTTAACTAGCCTAATTTCAGTTCTATTATGCGTGGATGAAGATCGGTCATACAATAGAAATGAGTCACTGGTTAAAAGCTTGGAAAACTTTAAATTACATGAGAGCAACGCCATATAAGGAAAACATATATAAAATGTGTTATAGGTGGCATTGGACCCCGGAAAAAGTTGCAAAATGTTTCCCAAGGGCTTCAAATATTTGTTGGAGATGTAGGAAAAATATAGGTACATATCTCCACATATGGTGGAAATGTGATAAAATCCAGAGTTTCTGGGGAAAAAATAATTAAATACTGATTGAAATACTACAAATTAATATTCCGTTAATACCAGAAATATATTTACTAAACATGATACCAGACACAATAGAGGACCATAACCATATAATCGTATATATTTTGACAGCTGCTAGAATATTAATAGCTAAGCGATGGAAAACAAAAAGTATACCATCTATAAAATAACTTAAATACAAAATCCTAGAAGTAGCAGAAATGGATAAATTAAATATAGCACTACAAAACAAATCGGAGGAGCTATTCTGGGACAGATGGGAAATAATTTATGACTGGCTGAAGATGAAGAAGACATAATAGAACAGGTATGAAATTCTTTATCTGCTGTAAAAATGGGCAAAGAGCAAAAAAGAAAGAGAAATTTAGGCAAAATGAAACTCTTGACCATATGGAACCAATGCAACAGAGATGGATTCAGAGATTCTCAGTTTTTGAAGTCAGCTTGTATGTTTTGGAATAATTGATGAAAGTTACATGATAATAAATCTTTTAAATCCAGGGGTATCTGAACTCCCAAATGTCACCATTCATCCATGATCCAGTGGTATGGGAAGTCTCTTTGTAGTTGTTCTTTTGCCGCCTGATAAAGATCAATAGGATGCACACACATACACCCCACCAGAAAAATACAACATATGCAACAATGGGCAAAAGACAGAAGAGACTCCCCCACTTCTGCAGCAGTATACTGCATATCCTGCAGTTGTGGACAGGTTTACATTGGGATCACACAACATAGCATCCAGACAAGAATAAAAGAACATGAAAGACACTGCATACTCGGCCAACCTGAAAAATCAGCAGTGGCTGAACATAACCTAACTCAAACAGGACACAGTATCTTATTCCAAGACACTGAAAGGCTGGACAACACATCCAATTACCATATCAGATTACACAGGGAAGCCATTGAAATTCATAAACAAACACAATTTCAACAGGAAGGAAGAGAGTTTAAAAATAAATAGGGCATGGTTTCTTGTCCTGAAAAACAAAAAATGCTCTACATCTTACAACAGTAGTACAGATAAGATTAGAATTTCAACAGCCAATCCATATGCAAAAGAACCTCCTCAGGAAAGCTCCTCCATTAGCATGTTTTCACAGCCTGGGGAACTCTTACAAGATAATCTCAGCCCTACCCCACCTTCCTGAGTAGATATAAATTACCTGCCTACCATTTTTCTTCTCACATTGACACAGAGAGTACTCTATCTTTCTGTGTTATACCTCTGAGGATGCCAGTCACAGCTGCTGGTGAAACATCAGGTCTTACAATGCCAAGACCATGGCCACACAGCCTGGAAAACAACTGATTCAAAAGCAGATGAGAACAAAGAAATGCAGCAAAAGGAGTGGTGTGCTGGAAGCGGTCTGAATGCAGATTCCTGTAAAACAAATGCAGAAACAAGAAAAAGACCCAACACAAATGGGAAGTAAAAGTGGGAGGGAATGCAGAACAAAAGAATAGGATGTCCTCCTCATAAACCAAGGCAAAATAATGGATACAGAAAGGGCCAGAGTCTCATTGCCTCTTCCCCTTCCAAATTTGTAAGCTGCTCAGAGACCCTTCGGGGTTGGAGCGGGGTAGAAATCGAAGATATAAATAAATAAATAAATAAATAAATATAAATGAAGCTAAGCAACAGCAACACTTTAACTCAACTATGGGAGGGCTGGGGGAGGGGCTAGATGAAGTTAAACTTTGAGAGCTTTGGAGGATGTTCCTAGAAGAGAAGATTGAATTCGGGGTGGTGGGGGTGGGGAAATCAGGTATTTAACACTTTGTGTGCTGCCTGTCTCTTGAACTTGCAGGCACGGCATCTCTCACTATCTGACTGGGTCACATTGCAATACACTGGATGCTTCCACCCACTCCTGCCTCCTGCTCCCCAAACCAGTTTGGATTGTTTCAGTGTGTGTCTATTATATGTACACTCTTCTCTTCTCTCAGAGAATGGCCTAAATACACAGCTTGTGCTTTCCTCTTGCCATTTCTTCTGGACAATTTCCATTGCTTATCTCTGGCTTTTTACTATGCTTCCCCTCTTTCAGCACTTCCTCTTTCCTTTGTCTCCCAACTTATTTCATTCTACCTGATGTGTCTTTTAATTACAGTTTCCAGAGGTTCAGCTGCATCTGTGCCCCTATGAGCAGCCTGAATGCAGAAACGGTGGCCCAAACTGGGCAGAAAGGTAGCACACAAATCTCGTAAGTGAAGCTTTCTCTTGCACTATGTCCTGTTAAATTCATGTGTACCAAACAGTTGTATAGGAACAAGACCAGTTTAAAAAACAAAAAACAACCTGCTGTCCCTATAAAGGTAAAGGTTCCCTTGCTCGAAAGCCAGTTGAGTCTGACTCTAGGGTTGCAGTGCTCATCTCCGTTTCAAAGCCGAAGAGCCAGTGCTGTCCGAAGACGTTTCCGTGGTCATGTGGCTGGCATGACTAAAGACCAAGA